GCAAAAATGCATCACGACTTTCTGATAGCCCAGGAATTAAGGAGCTTTTTTGTTCTTCTCTCTGGACACACACACACACACACACACACATGTTTATATATACAAATTAAGTTTGTTGGAGTCAAGAAAATATTGTTTTACAATTAAAAAAAGAGATCCCCGCAACATCATCATTTCTGAGGGCAGGGCCTTGGCCCAGTGGCAAGGGAGTCAGGTCCCACATGGCCAGCTCTGTGGCTGGAGTCCCGGCCCAGTGGCTTGAAAGACATGCCAGGCCGTGTGTGTGGGCCTCGGGCCCCAAGAGGATGGAGAAGTGGGCCACATCCCATCGTGGGGACATTCTCTCTCTTTCTCGCTGGTGAGCACACGTGACCTCTGACAAATTAAAATTATATGTATTAATTTCTGAATAATGAAGCAAAGGGGCCCTGAAGTGTGATGCTTTTAAGCAGCACATTGACGTTCTAATGGAAAGCTGCATTTTTAATGCTGAGCAGCAGGGACAGCAGGCACTTTTACCGAGTTCAAGCACCACTTCCTAGTGTGCGTGACCGCATCGACCAGGTTCTGAGCAACAACTACCACCAGAGTTCTGAGACTTCGTGCAACTCCCTGGTCTCCCCTCTGCTACTCAATGGCTCTGTAGTTTCGCCTGGGCAAAAGAACTGGTAGGACTTAGAAAAACCTTCTTCTGGAAAACAAAAAATTAGCCAAAATTTAGATTCTTGGAGAATTTGGAATTATATAAATTTAAATTTAATTTTTCTAGGTTTAAATACAACAGAAGATGGAAGACAATGGACCCTGGCATGTCTGATGAGGCCCTTGAGGCTCCCGTATTCCCTACATGAAAACAGTGAATACAGCAGGGACTTGGGCAGGCGAGCTGCTGGCGTGGGGACCACAGAGTCTCAGACACTCCGGTGTAGGACTAAGAGCTGCCTTCGACCCTCCCCTGGGTTCTCACTAGCTCTGCTATGCTTTTCCTTAAATTAGGTTGCAACCCCTTAGAAATAAGTTCAGCAAGTGAATAAAAAGTTCTTGAACATGCTACTGTTCAAATACTGCCTTCCATTTCTTGGAATACAGAACAACTCCAAAAGGAAGAGAACTTTAAGATCAGCCCTGTAGAGACTCCACCATCCGGCTATGTAAGTGTAAATGCCAGGTTTCATATAGATGAGTGAAAAACAATCAAAATATTTCAGAGGACTCTTCCAACTTTAGCTGATGAAAGAAAAAAATAAATAAAACTACCCTAGAGTAGAACTAAATGTAAGGCTATTGTAGTATTTATATATGCTCTCTAAGGTCTTCTGAAGTCTGAATATCTGCCCATGTGTCCCTCAAGTTTGAGGACAACACAGACCAACCTTCAAAATGCGCAGAGTTCCTTTGTAAGCTCATCCCTTAGAAGACGCTCGCCCTTGTCCCGTTACAGTCCCGTTACTGAGGACACCGTGTGTCACCAGATGAGTGGGGAGGGAGACAGAACAGAGCTCCGAGGCTGACGCCAGCTCCCATGCACACCGTCCTTCCTTTTTTCTGAGAGAGAACAGAGGTAAGAACCTTTGGCTGGGTCCTGCCGCAGCAGGGTCCTCCACCCCAGCCTCCCAGGCAGGTGGGGTCCCTGGAGTGCGGCTGAGCCCCGAGCACCTTGGGCCGCCTGGGTCCCGTTACTGAGGACACCGTGTGTCACCAGATGAGTGGGGAGGGAGACAGAACAGAGCTCCGAGGCTGACGCCAGCTCCCATGCACACCGTCCTTCCTTTTTTCTGAGAGAGAACAGAGGTAAGAACCTTTGGCTGGGTCCTGCCGCAGAAGGGTCCTCGACCCCAGCCTCCCAGGCAGGTGGGGTCCCTGGCGTGCGGCAGGGCCCAGAGCACTCGGGTCAGCCTGGGAGGCAGACTGGCCCCATGAAGCCGACTTCTCACAGCAGTGCCCTGCCACTGCTCGGTGATCGCACAGTCCTCGTTCCTCAAACACACTCGGGGAAGAGCTGAGAAAACCAATCAATACCCTGACCGCTAAATCCCGGTTCAGTAAGACCAGCTTATTTTGGAAAGGTCAGGTACTTTCTCTGATATTTGAATAAAGTGAGACAATCAGGTAAGAGTGCTATATTTTTCCCTGTGTTAACGATTAATTTGGGCCAGCCTGTGGCCTGGTGGTTAAGGTGACTGGATTCAGTATGGCCGACCTCTGGGTTCCTTCTAGCTACCGTTAATCAAAATGCATCACCTCAGAAGGTTGAGTCCCAGACCCAGTGGCTTGAGAATATACTGGGCATGTGTGCCTGTGTGCCCAAAATCCTGAAAGGAGGGAGAGATGGGGACGAAGACATTTCAGCATTGCCTTTCCCCATGGGAGGGGGTTTCTCATTCTCTCGGTCTGTCTGGTGAGCACATATGCCCCCGGGTAAATTGTTTGAAAAATATTAACTTGGATGTATGTGCATTTTATGAATATACATACATACATATATGTACACACATACATGAAATATACACACACACATGCATATATAGAAATAGATTAGAATGTGTCTGAGGATCTGCGTGTACAAAAGAAGGAGAAAACACCCGCGGGCTGCACCTAAAGGAAGGCAGGATGGGCATGGAGGCCCTCACCGCATCCTCGGCACGGAGCCATGCTCACGTCATTTCCAGCAGTAACGGCCTTTGGACAACTTCTCCTTCTGAGGGTTTCAGTTTTCAGAACTGAGGCTCTTGTCAGTTTTACTACAAACTATTCTGTCTGTGTTTGATTAGGTAGAGATGCCCACTCCAGGCGGCCAGCATACACATCCACAGTGCCCTGGTGACGGATCCCAACGGTGCAGTGCCGTCACAGCATACGGCCCGGAAAGTTCAACGTGACCTCGACGTCCACCCATCTGTAAACAGTGAGTATTATTCTCCTAGAGAACTGTTACACTATTCGCCTCACACAGTCTTTACTCCTGGATTACTTCCAGAAAATATCGGAGATATTTGCACGTATGATAAAAAAGGATATGTGTTTGTGGATTCTGAGTTCTTTGTGATGCACAGATGTATATGTAAATCATTTAATATATAAATTGTATATGTAAATTATTCCATAATCAACCAATCAAAAGTAAGCAGTGCAAAATTAGAGTTTGCATAAGGATTTAAGAAGTCGTTGACTTCACACCAGCCATGAAAATCAGCTTCCTGACCAAAAACACAAAAGAAAACAAAACTTCTGAGCTTGTCTAGAGTAAAGAAGGTGCCAGAAGATTTATTTAGTTTCATCTGCAACTGTCCTGACAAGTTGATAAGCTCTACAGAAATATGGACCTCAAACACTCCTCACTATTTTTTTTTATTTGCTACGGGATGCTTGCACTCACCAGAGGGACAGAGAGAGAGTGAGCGAGTGCCTCTGTGGGGGAGGCCACATACAGCCCCCTCCTCCGCTGCCTCTGGTCAGGATTTTTGGCACACTTGCACACACACCCAGGATGCCTTTCAAGCCTTCAGACCCAGGACTTGAACCACACAGTTGGCCATAGGATCCACTTGCTTTAGCCACCATGCCCCTGGCTGGTTCCACTCATTTAAAACCAATATTTCTATTCCAGATTCTTTCAAAAATTGGTTAGCTAAGAACAATGATAAGTGATAAAGCATTATCCTATTTATTTCTAAAGAATTCCTATTTAGAGGGACAGCAGGTGGCATGGAGGTTAAAGGCTGGATGCCATGTGGCTGGCTGTGCAGTCCAGTCCTGGACCAAGTGGGTTGCAAGTTACACCAGTGCGAGTGTGTGGCTGCCCTGCAATGTGAGAGGAGAGTGGTGGAGAGGGACTGCAGCATGCCATCCCCCTGTGGGGGCATTTACTCATTTTCCCTTTCTCTGTTTCTCCCTAAGCAAGCACATCCACTCTACAGCAAAAAAACAAACAAAACAAACAAAACAAAAAAAACCTTGGTATTTGGATTCTTTGTGAGCTACAATCTATGTTCTGTTTCTTTTTCTTTCTTTTTCTTTTTTTTCTTTTTTCCTGAATGGGAACTCTTTATTTTCTTGAAATAAAAACTTTCACTATAATTTTACCCAGATTTGTACCCTTCTTTTTTATTTATTACTTTTTAGCAAATATTTATTCTCCTAAGACTCATTTTTCTGACATCAGGAGATAGGAATAGAGTGATTGAGGTAAGAAGTGGTTTTCTGTGAGTGCCTTTTTGATTCTGAATAAAATTAGGACTTCCTAACTTCTATTAACATTTTTGTTTATATTTTCCTTGGTTTATATTTTGTATATATATTTTGTTTATGTTTTCTTTTCCTTAAAATGATCTTTCTAAGTTACCTCTAATGTATCCTCTTTCTTCTATTTACCTATTTTTTCATCTACCTATTTTTTCTATATACTATAGAATAAATATCAGATTGATATTAATCCCTCAGTTAAAATTTTTTCTTGTCATTACTTTTCTTGATAAACCTTTAGCGGATTCAGGATCTCCATTCGTTAGTGTATTCTCAAGCTTCTGGTTGTTTTCAGGCAAACTACCTGTTTGCATTTGTAACATCTTCCAAAGAAAATGTTCTTCATTACATGGCTGAAGTAAAAGTTAATTTTAACTCAACTAACTTAGCAATAAACAAATGAGAATTGCCAATTAGTGTGACTCCTCTCTGGTAGCTATAACCAGTTGCTGCACGGTTACATTGTATCATCTCTACACTGCCTAAGCAGGAGAGGTAAAATCTTGTCTTCTCAGTTGAAGGGAGTCTGTGCCTGTTATGTGTTCTAACCAGCCCCGCTCACTGCTAACGGACAGAGAATGGAGACTTGGAGGGGAAATGGGAGAAGAGGATTTTCAAAATAATTCATTGTGGATTCTGCAGAAAGATTGTGTCTTCGGGAAAACCACTGGTGGTACTAACTGGTGGAGGACGAGGCCAGGACGTGGCCAATGACATGGTGCTGTCTTCTCCCCACAGGTGGCGGGTGAGGCCAGGACATGGCCAACCACACCGGAGAGCTGGGCTTCCTCCTCACAGACCTCTCTGCCACCAGGGAGCTCCAGGTGCTCCAGGCGGTTCTGTTTCTGCTGATTTACGTGGCGACTGTCGTGGGAAACCTTCTCGTTTTTGTTGTCATCACCCTGGACCCCTGTCTTCACATCCCCATGTACTTCCTCCTGAAGAACCTGGCCTTCTCTGACCTCTGTCTCATTTCCACCATCATCCCCAAGTCCATTCTCAACTCTCTCTCCAACCAGAGCACCATCTCCTTCCCGGGGTGTGCGATGCAGGTCCTGGTGGTGATTCACTTTGCTGGGTGCGAGGTGTTCATCCTCACAGCCATGGCCTATGACCGCTATGTGGCCATCTGTCACCCGCTGCGCTACACTGTCATCATGAACAGGGACGTCTGTGTACGCGTGTCAACTGCCTCCTGGGTCCTTGGGGCATTCTTCGGAGGCACATACTCAGCTGGCACATTCTCCTTATCTTTCTGTGGCTCCAGAAAAGTCCCTCAGTTTTTCTGTGATGTCCCCTCATTGTTAAAGCTTTCTTGTTCTAAGGATCATATTACTATTAATATCAGTGTGGCGATCGGAATGTTTTATGGACTTTTTTGTTTATTCATCATTGTTTTCTCGTATGTCTATATTTTTAATACGATACGAAGCATCCCATCCGTGCAAGGCAGGTCCAAAGCCTTCTCCACCTGCCTTCCCCACCTGGTGGTGGTAACCACCTTCCTCCTGACGGGAGCCGTTGCCTACACAAAGCCAGTGCCCAAGTCGCCCTCGCCCTGGGACTTGCTGCCCTCACTGTTGTACGCAGTGCTGCCACCCTCCCTTAATCCCGTCATCTACAGTCTGCGGAACAGGGAGATCAAGTCGGCCCTGAGAAAGCGTCTGTGGAAACTCAGCATGTGAAGCTATAGAAATAGCAATGCAACGAGGTTTCTCAATTTTTTCCTCATATAGATTAACAGAGTCTAGGATGTTAGTCTGTCTCTCTTCCTTGGTCTTTCCGATAACAGCCAGGAGAGAGATGATATCTCATTGTTGTTTTAGTTTGTATTTCCCTGAGTATTAGTAATACTGAGCATTTTTATATAACTGCTGTCCACCTGTATGTCTTCTTTGGAGAAATACCTATGCAGGTGTTTTGCTTTGTGAAGTCAGGTTATTTGCTTTTTTGTTGTTGAGTTGAGTTCATTAATAGTTTAGAGTTTATTAAGTTAAAAAATCAAATGCAAGAGAGTGTATGCTCTATGTCACATCATAAGAAAACATATAAGAATCTCCTTCTTTCTGAAAAATGAAACATAAGAAAAATAAAACAGTAAGCCTCAAATGCCTTTCTGCAGGTGTTGAGTACTGGTGTGAAGGGGGTGGAGAGGAGAAGTTAGAGAGTGGAGCTGAAGTGTTCTGTATACACTAACTGTTACTTTGGGAAAGCATGCTGTTTTCAAAGATACAATAAGTTTGTAACCTAGGTGGACGGAAAAAAAAACTTTAAGCCAAATCAACTGAAATTACTACTTCAAATGAAAAATCATAACCATGTTCAAAAAAAACTAAAAAGAAACCCATTCCAAGTAATTTTTACACAGAGTATGGTAAAGAACAAATGCTACAAATAAGGACACTTATTTGTACAAGTAAATGAAAAAAGGGAATCTGGACAAAAATTGATAAAATTATTATTTTTTATAAATAATTATTTAACTTTATTTATTATTATTATTTGTTTTAATTTGACCAGAGAGAGAGAGAGCAGGAGTGAGAAAAGTAAGCTGCCAGGTCCAAGACTTGAACCACAGTCAGCCATGCGGGAGTCCAGTGTCCCTAACCACCATACTACCTGCTGGCCTGACAATTATTATTTAATACTATTATCAGTAGACCCTCAGGCCAGTGAAGAAAAAAACTACAAACAATTCTTCAGCTATTTGTGCAGGCCTCTTTCTGCAGAGGTATAGCTGTAGCAATTTCCTGTCTGGACACCTTTCCATGTCAGCCGGACAGGCAAGTGCCTGCGAGCTGGGATGGGCTGAAGCTGGGCATGGGTCATGGCACCAACACCCTGCTGGGGGCACCTCTCTCCCTCTCTCTCTCTCTCGTGATATTAATAAATAATTTTCCAAAGGCAGTATTATAAAGACTAGTAAATGTTATGTACTTTGGATATAATCCTTATAAAGTGTTCTGGTCAAGAAGGCTAATCTAAATATAATTGCAAAAGGTAGACAATTCCAAATAAAGAATTATTCCCTTAAATAACCATCCCATGTTTCTCAAAACAGTCTGCGTTATGAATTACAAAAACAAAAAAGACTCAAGAACCAATTTAGGTTAAAAAAAAAAAACCAAAAAACTGAAGGAATATGGCAACTCAACACAATGCCTGGTCCTAGACTGCACCCCCTCTGGGAGGAATGCGTAAGAACATTTATTACCCAGATGAGCCAGAGGAGATGGCAAAACCAGATGCAATTATTATATCGATATTTGTCTTCTTGTTTCTGATACCTAAACTGGCAAAATGTTTAAAGATGGAAAATCAGAGAAAAGGTTGAGCTTTTCACAGTATGAAACTTTACTGCAAGTTTTAAATTATTTCAAAATTTTGAAATTAAGGTATATTAGGATAAAACAAAATTATACTCAGTCCAGTCCCTTAGTTAGTGGTTAGTGACCGTGTATTAGGAGCCAGATCCCACATGGCCCATTGCAGTTCCAGTCACACCCTGGCGGCTTGAGAAACATGCCTGGCACGTACGTGTGATGTGAACACCCTACAGGAAGAAATGGAGAGAAAGGGGTGATTTAAAAAGCCAATATTTTAAGAATATTGTTGAGACCAGCAGTTGGCATAATGGCTGTCACTGGACTCTCATGTAGTCGACCGTAGTTCGAGTCCCACACGTGGTGGCTTAAACTCATGCTGGGTGCATGTGCGTGCGTGCCCAAGATTCTGAGAGGAGAATGGAGGAGAAGGGATTGCGGCATGGCCAACCCCCCTGGGGGGTAATTTCTCGCTTTCTGTCTCTCTGTCTCTCTCTGTCTTTCTGGCAAACGCATGCACCCTATAGAAAAAACCTCTAAAAAATCACAAAGAATATTGATACATAATCATGGTAGCAGAGTTGAATAAAGGAGCAGTAAAACATCATTTAATTCTCTATACTACACTTTATATCACTACCTCTCCTCGTTAAATTTTATTAATTAAAATAGTTCCTCAGAACCAGGTAGTATAAAATGGCATTTTGCTAACTAATATATCTAGTAACCAAAATTATTTTGAAATGACCTAGATGAAAATTTTAGTTGATCCTTGTAAGATCTATTAGAGGCCCAAATAAGCAAACACATAAACAAAACCTATCACTTTCAAATGTTGCAGCTAGATCTTGAAAATAATTTTAGTGTTACTGCTCTCCAAGGAGAGGTTTTACCAGATGACCACAAGATTTATTTTCTGTGTACATTTGATGATTCTAGTTTAGAGCAAGATTTCTCAAAGTCCGCTGTGCATCTAAAATCATCGAGGAAACTGAGGAAAGGTACATTTTTAATTTCTCCAGAGACCCTCTGAATCAAAGGACTACTTATAGGCATCTTCACTTTTGCAAAGTGCCCAAATGTTTATTTTATATTAGAAAGTGTGCATGTCACTATCCCATAGTCTGAACTCTATAATAAGTGAGAGTTAGGAACTATTTAAGTACCTTATTATTACAAGTCAATGGCTGAGTCATAATCTTCATGGAGTATTTCAGAATGTTTTCTGGAGCCTGAGCAATTTTGCCTACAGAAAACACCAGTGACGGGAACCAGCAGTTGGCGTAATGGCTATGTAGCTGGACTCCCACGTAGTCGACTGCGGTTCGAGTCTCCGGACCCGGTGGCTTAAAACTCACGCCAGGCGCGTGTGCATGCGTGCCCAAGATCCTGAGAGAAGAATGGAGGAGAAGGGATTGTGGGTGACCATCCCCCCTGGGGGGTGATTTCTCGCTTTCTGTTTCTATGTCTCTCTCTGTCTGTCTGGCAAGCGCACGCGCCCTATAGCGAAAACCTCTCCAAAAAATAAAAAAATAAAACACCAGTGACTACATTGCTAATGGTTTAAGAGATAATTACTTAATAGGTTATTCAAAAACTTTCACGACTTTTACCTTTAGGAAATTCTAAGGTATTAGCCAAGTGCTTTAAAAATAATTTGTTGTAGACCCTTTTACCATAAAAGGTTTCAAATGACGTTAACTTTGAAATAAAGGCGAATACCTTTTCTGATCATAAAGGCAAATAACTTTTCTGATCATTTTAATACATCTCCTTCCATGTTAAGAAGCTACCACAGCCCTGCAGAGATCTGAGTCCTTCCCGAGAAGCCTAGGGAGTGCAGCTATGTGTTATGACAGAGAACGTCCCAAGGAAGGTAGATGCTCTGCTTTGTTTTCAGGTCATCGGCTGATAATTTTTACTCTGTTTTGGAGAAAAATTTCTACCTTCTAGTAAACTTCTTGGAATTATCTCCTTATGTACATCTAAGTAACCCTTTCTTCAGGGGTAGCCAAATTGGAACTATTTTCAGGTATGCAGTTAAAATTCCCATTTGTAAAATGTGAAAATAATCTCTGTTCCAAAGTAAAAAAAAAAAAATAAGAAAGAAAGAAAGAAAAGAAATCTTTTAGATCCTTAGTAAACTTCAGACAGACACTAAATCTGTGGAGTGTAATGGTAGTTTCCTGCCCCTCTCCCTGGTGTTCCCTTGTGCAGTTCTCTATCATGGAGATAGGCTGGTACAGATCTTCAGAATCCTGCCACGTGACCACACACCCACCAGGTCACTGCTGCTTCTCCGCGTGTGATCCAAAGGGTCACTGCCTTTTCTGTTTTCAAATTGTGCTTCCTGAACGTCTCCACGGCATCTCCTATAAACTCGCCTTCTTCATCGCAGTGTTAGCTCCAGCCATGCACCTTTAGTCTCACCAGCCTCCTGATTAATCGCTAAAATGAAATCATTTTATTCTCGTAGTAGCACTTGTCATCATCTCAGATTTTGTGTACTGGTTTACCTGTTCTTTATTACAGGCCTCTTCCCATGGAGAGTAAGCTCCCAGAAACAAACAAACAGAAAACAAAAACAAAACAAAACAAAACACCTTTCTTTCCCTCCACCATTATAGTTAGTGTCTGATATAACGGATCATCAGAAAAGTCATAATGCATTTTTGGACAGAAAAATACATCATGACTTTTCCTTTTTTTTCTTAGTTTATTTATTTTACATACTTTCACTGAACATCACCACAGCATACCAAATGAGATTTTCCATCCAGAATACACTGTAAAGTGGCTTAATCATACATGTTATCATCAACAAATAATTTTCCATCTCTGTTTCTTGTATATATATAAATTTTTCCCACCTATTTCTCACCCTCTGCCATTTCCAATGCTCCTCCTACCCTGTGTCTGGCATCTGCAGTTGCTTTCCATTCCTTTATTCTTTCCTACATTGTATTGAATCACAAAATATCTTAATCTAAATACTTTCAATAGTAAGTTCAGCTGATATATACAGATTTGTGAACAAAAGTTGACTTAAGACATGAAACTCGGGAACCAGCAGTTAGCGTAATGGCTATGTCGCTGGATTCCCACGTAGTCGACCGCAGTTCGTGTCCCGGACCCGGTGGCTTAAAACTCATACCGGGCGCGTGTGCGTGCGTGCCCCAAGATCCCGAGAGGAGAATGGAGGAGAAGGGATTGCGGCGTGACCATCCCTGCTGGGGGGGTGATTTCTCGCTTTCTGTCTCTATATCTCTGTCTGGTGAGTGCACGCGCCCTATAGCGAAAAACCTATCCAAAACAAACAAACAAACAAACCTTGTGGTACTTATATACTACGAAATAGTACA